AGAGAGTTATGGCTGCAAACTGAGCTTCACATTCTTCCTCTGTCCTCTCTGTCCTCCCCTCTCTGAGACCTTCAGGTTATGACAAAGACAAGGAAAGTAGAGCATGTACTAAGGCTGTGTTTTATTGAATTGAGGGGTGACTTTGCTGACTCAGCTGGTTTAAATGCTGCTGTCATGCTGTGCCCTTGCTGAGGTATTTCTTATCTTTTCTAAGGTCAAGCTACTGAAGAGGGTTTCTCCTTACATTGATATAACATTGTCAGTATTAAACTTTACTTGGCTTTGTCATTGTGTAGTCTTCTTATTCTAATAATCAATAAATAAATGAATAGTAAAGGCTTAAAATTACACCAGAAAAAAAACAAAAAACACCAGAATCATCAAAGAACATTCTTCAAGGTACTGTTCTATTTTTTTAAATTCTAAACATAAAGATGACTGTTTTAATAAGTTATTAAACAGTCGTTGTTGTTAGTTTTGGTCAGCTTTCGCACTAATGCTAACTTAGCTGAGAATTTTTCTCAATCGGCTAATATTTGTGATATTTTTCCTCGTAGGAACATTGCAATATGTCAGCACTTGACCAGATTCATTAAGATTTCACACTTTTATCCTTTTTAAACTTATTTATAAGTTGCCTTTTTATGTCATTACTGGATGAATGTGTCATTCTACAACTCCACTTTTTTTTTTTTTTTAAGATTTTAAAGCACTCCACAGCCCTGCAGTTCAGAAGTTTAGTCTAAGCTTTTACTGATTCATGAAATTTGAGCCTCTTGATGGATTTAGTTCCTACATGTGATACAGTAAATCGTAGTACTGTTCATAGACTTCTCATATTAAATATATTAAATCAAATATTTCAGGGAAATGACTCATGTAGTTGCGCATGTTTTTTCATGAACATACAAAAAAAAAAAAGAATAATTACACAAAGGAAAAAAAAAAAGCAATGGTAATAGCACATAATTTAACTAAGCAGAGGTTATGGAGGAAAACTGTGATCCTATTTCGGTACAACTGAAGTTTAAAGCTAAATGCAATTTCAAAATAATTGTTTAAGTAAATTGTAAAGGTGAAATATTAAAATTGGTCCAAGGGACAAATCAGTTATGGTCTCTTCTTTTACCACATATCATATAACATAACATAACATATGTGGTATTACACTTCAAAAACTGATCCAAAAAAACTGTGTTTGCCTTTAATTTGACCTGGTAATTATGCTGATCTCTATTTTTGCTCTTAGAAAATAAGATAAATAGTCTGCATTTGAAATAGGTTATTTTTTTCCTCTCTTAAACAGAATCATTTTATTTCACCTTGTCAAGGTTACCCACTTAATTCAAGGGAAAATACAATTATTTCAAGAATAGAGCTTTACTGATCTCACAATGGAGAAATTAACTTGTGGCATTGGCTCTTATAAACAACAGAAGGTGCACAAATAAGGAAAAGGTGCATGAAGTACATACAGTGAACCCAGATATATACAGTGGATTGTAAAAAATAAAGAAGCAGCGATTTAAGGTGACTTATTTATACATTATGTTATTTACAATAGAGTGGTGACAGGTAAAGTGTGGTTTCTGGTTTGTTAAATGGATAAATAGTATAGATTATTGCAGTGTTATTATAGTGTTGTTGTGGCATTGTAGAGTCTGGTTGCAGCAGAGATGAATGACCTACGGTAGCGCTCCTTTTTATAAACAGGGTGTAAAAGTCTCACTAAAGGAGCTGCAGGAGGTGGAGGCGGCTCTGACCCTTCTTATACAGGGCATCGGTGTTAGTCCAGTTTATTATTGACATGAACACCCAGGTATTTGAAACTCTCCACAGTTTCTATGTCCCACCCCTGGATGTTCACAGGAGAGTGAGGTTAGGGTCTTCTCCTGAAGTCGATCACCCTCTCCTAACACCTAACTGGTGTTTAAACACCAGTAACACCAGTTCAAAAAGTTAATTATGACGGATCATAAGGGGTTGTGTGTCCCCTCAGACACACAGCCCAAAATGACAGGGTAAAGAAAAACATATTTAAATATATTAACATTTTTGCAGTGTATGTTTTCAGTAAAGGGGCCAGCAGCACTTGGTCCCTGGTTCTAATCTCCACTTCCGTTTGGGTGAATTTTATGAATTGGAATTAATGCTGCAATTCTGCTTTTTTTTCTCTACCCTATTAATCTTTTGAAAGTGTTTAACAGAAGACTAAACGTTTCTACTCTGGAAAGATGAGGTCCATCAACAAACTGAACCTTTTTCTTCTTTTCTTTTAGCAATATACTCTGGCATTCCCTGTCCATAGCTATATGTGTTACATAAAGGCTAAGGCAGTTTATTTTACTGAGGAACTAGTATTGCTGCAGAATAAAGGGCGAAATAAATAAGGCCAAATTGTTTTATTTCCAAAGATTTGGCCTACTGCCCAAGTAAACTAAATCTTCCAGTAGGAAATCTAGATATCTGCTTGTTCTGCATCAGAGAAACTAAACCAGACTGTAGTTTTCATTCTGAACTCATGCTGACAGAGAATCAATAGCCTTTACTTTGTTATGCCTCAGGCAAGGTTAGCGAGGCAGCAGCAGAACGTGGCATGTCTAGCAAGGCTCTCAGTATTTTCTCTTTAAAGACTAGTTTGATCACTCTATCTTCCATTATGTTCTCTTTCTTCTCTTTGTCTATTTTTTTTCTAAGCTGTTTTTTGTACGGTGAAGCCTCTGCAAGTTTTAGATGTGAAGTCAGAGGAGAATCTGCTTGGTGAAAGGAGGAGGATGAAAGTGGGGGATGGTAGCTTTTTAAAGCGAGTCAGAGCCACTTCAGAGCAACAGAGAGGGGGAGGAAGGAGGGGAGTTAGGGAGGATCGGCTCACGGGGGAGAGAACAGTTCTCACAGTCAGCTGGAACAAAAAGAAAAAACCCTGACCTTTGTGTGTTTGTGTATTGATATGCCTGTGCAATCAGTGGGATCAGGCGCCTCCTCAGAGGGTCTTTTGTCTCACTGCCTTTCCTACAATCAGAAGTGATAGAGCCCTTTTTGAAAGTATGTCCCTGTTTACACGAGTCCTTGCAGATTTGAATACAAATGGTCAGTGGTAAGGCTATCCTCATCTGCCATTAAAATTCTATTCTCTTCTATTATCTGATTTCAGCTACCTGGTTAACACTAAAAGAGCAACGAGCCCTACAGCACAGTGGGTTGTCAGCAATATTACAAACACTTTAAATCAATAGAAGTTTGTATTTACATAATAAGATAATTTATGTGGATTGCATAGTTGTGGAGTGATTTTATACTTTAATTAGTGCTTTGAATAGTTTATTCAATCAGCAAATTGTTTGTTTTTAGATTCTGTATATTCCAATTAATGATTTTTTGATTACTAAATTAGAGGATGATTATTTTATCGACTGATTAATCACAGTTAATCCAACAAGGGCAGTGGTGGTCTAGTGGTGAGGGCATAGAGCTTGGAATCCTGAGGTTGTGAGTTTGAAACCCATTCCCACATACTGCCACTCTGGCTCTCTGAGCAACACCCTAAACCCCTGATTGTTCCCCGGGCGCCCCACAGTGGCAGCCCACCGTTCCATTAGGGGATGGGTTAAATGAAGAGGTAAATTTCTCCAATGTGAGATCACTAAAGTTCAATTGTTATTATTCTAATTGTTTCAGCCGTCATTAAAGGCATCATGGTAAAAAATGTTTGGGTATCAAGATGTTCTTTTATTCACTCTCTTCTGCTTCTTAAGTTTAGTGACACTCAGAAAAACAGTCTTAGACATGTGCAAAACCATTACCTCTAAGTGACGCTGTAGGTGAGAGCAAAGAATCGCGATGATATTGTCGCCACATGTCAAAGTGTCCCTTTGCAAGATATTGAACCAGCTGGGAAAAAGAAATCAGTCAGTGAGAGCCTTATCAAAGCACCTTTAGAAAAAACTGAACATCAGTGGTTTCAAATAAGATTTTAGCAAACTATTATCTATGGTGGGAGAAAGGATCGGCATTGTAGCTTTTTCTTTTAATTGACTTCGACTCTTTAGGGACAAGTTTTTTCTTTTAATAGATTTAATTTCAATGAAATGTTAGAAAAATCTAATTACATATCAGGTTTTTTGCCTGTATGTATTGAAACTCTTGGTTTGTTTGTTTTAATTCAGCCACCTTTTATTATTATTCACTAAAACAAGGGGAACAATAATTTGCAAGGTAAATTAGATAAAATAAATTACAAGATCCAAGTTTAACATTTGTTCATTTAATTGTGATAAGGGTTACTTTGACCAGAGGGAATATTCAAATGCTTCTATCTCCTTGACTTCAGGCAGAAGATTTAATGTTTGTTGTATCTGAGGGGAAGTTTGTTGTAAAATAGAAGAATAAAGGATTTCTTGTAAACCTTTTACTGCAACATCTACACACATTTCTCTCTCTTAACCATTTCCTGTTATGCTTCCATATTTTTTCCAGTTCTCTGTTGCTACAGCTTTTGTAATTTCTAACGACAAAACTTATTAGCATTCTGCTTCTTTACACGTAACTTTTATTATTATTTCTAATTTTTTATTTTGTTATTATTCCATTTTATTATTATTTATATTAGTCAACAATTGTCACAAACAGCACAAGTTTCTGCATCTTTCCTTCCTCTCTCCTGTCATACGTGCAATGCTCACCTTCAGAAAGGACGTCACCATATGGACCAGGCCATCTGGACTGGAAGGCGTTGCAGGCATTAAGACGGGGCACTTCAGCTCTTTAGGCAGAAATGGGATTTTTGAAGGGGTGATTTATTTCAAACCTTTGAGTCAGGCATACATTCACTGAAGTGATGTTAAACCTTTTTAGACATGGTGTGAAAACAGTATATCCTTCAGCTAAATAAACATCTATCTTCCTCTTTTAAACCATGGAAGCTGATTTGCTCCATTCTCTGACTGAAACAGCATAAAGAGTCTAAATCTTCCTCTTTCTTTTTGCTCCGCCTCTTCATCTAGGAATTGAGCTGTGCTTGCCGGGCTGGCGCTTCTCCATGACCATGGTGGCCAGTTTTCTGAAGGTGGGCGGGCAGCTACTGATGCCAGGGGTGGCCTCTCTGTGCCGCCATTGGCCAAATGGGGATGATTGGCAGGTGCTGCAGATCGTCATCATCAGCCCTTTTGTTCTGATGCTGCCATATGTCTGGTGAGTCCCACCCTCTCAACACATCAATCCAGGGTTTCTCACACTGAGCCAGGCAACGGCTTGTACAGTACACACACACCCACATGCACACACACACACACACATCACACACACACACACACAGTATGAAGCAGTCAACGCAGAAACAAAGCTCCCTTTCTCCTGCTGTTTTCTTCTTCATTCATTTCTGTCTTGCTCTTACATCACAGTCTGTTTTCTTCTTCTGTCTAAATATAAGACATCAGAAGTGCTCTGGAACATTGGTAACTCACTGGAATATATAATAACCACTTTTGTGCACTTCTTTTTACACTAGCTATGTTTTTTGTGATAAAGCAGTTGACTTTGTTTGCTAAATTTACTCCGATCCTCAAAAAAATTCTGCATATTTTCTTTTTAATTATTTATGCTAAACGGGATAAAAACATCACTCTTTGGAGCTGCATTCATCAACTTCACGTTTAAGTAAAAGCAAAACTTTTAAAGTTCAGGGAAAGTTGAACAATATGCATTTTTTTGTTACTACCAAGTCAGATATTCTCAGCTATGAAGTCAAAACAAACAACACAGAGTTTGCCGCTTTTTCTTTTACCGTAAATGTTTTTTTACATGACAAAAGGTTTTTGCAAAGATGCTATTATTTCTATGCTGCCAGTTGTTCTTTTTCTCTATTTGATGAACAGTGGTGCTAATGGTCCGCTCACCTTCTCCACATAATACTTAGAAAGGATGATATTCAACATAGTAAATCTCGTTACAACCCATAATATAACCCACTCAGTGGGTTTTATTTTATTGTATTATCATAAAATCCACAGTTTCTCACATTTTAAAGACAAAAAAAGGTTGACTTGTCTTTTATTTTCAGCCAGTAGCTGCATCAGATTTTCTTGCCTTCTAGTCACTCATGTCTTACTATTTTCAGTAAACAATTCCTTGACATTTTTGACTGGATCAGAAATAATTGAAAGGTTATTTCAACACATTTTACAAACGTTAAAATACAGAGAGATTGTTTCTCTATGTACTGAAATAATAATTTAGTGAGAAAGTTATAGAATGCAGCTCTGTTGGAATATAAGCAGTTATAGGGAATCAACAACTCAGACTTTAAAACATATCTATGGAAGTTAAGCCTTACCTAAATGACCTGTTATATTAACAACTTTTAGTAACAACTAATCTTAGTGTCAGGGAATCTCTAGGTTTCAACACCATATGTATGGTTAACTCCAGTGTCCTGGGGTCCCAGATAAAGCAGAAGATGTTAAACATGAGTATGAATTTTAACTAGGGATGGATAATTAATTGCATTTGCAATTAGAGGTCCATGGGAGAGTAGCTTGAACTTTAACTCATTCCAAGCGCAATGCCTTTACCACTAGGCCGCCACTTCCCAAAGCAGGTATTAGCAAGTAGGGTCTTGCATAAGGACCCACACTGGAAGCTCATTCCCCCCAGCTTGGATAAGAACACAGGCTTCCTTTTTCCTTTTTGCAGGACGGGTGACTTACCACTTGAACTAGCCAGCTGCTAGAATGCAGATCCATGCATGATAATAGAAGTTAGAGCTTTTTTTTTTCATGCAAAGTACTGCAAAAATGGACGCTGGACTGGCAAACTTTCAAGACCATGAAACATCTACATGCTTGTGTTTATTTCAATGGGAAATTACAATTAAATCACCACATCTGTTGAAAATAACTGCAGTTTGGATTTTTGACAAAATAGTTCAACCCTTGTTGAAACAGGGTCCATTGAACCTGTAATTTTCCTTGCATAAAACACAACATTCACACAGGGTAACTTCCCACTGTTACTTTCTACCACTCCCTGTTCAGACATCTGTTTCAATACAGGTCGAGTTTTAAAAAGCATGTTTAGTTGGTGCTTTCTTGTCTTTTCCCTTTGCTGTCTGATTAGAGAAGTGGTGCTATGGACTCCCCCGGCCCCCGCAAGGAACACTGGAATAATCACTCAGCCTCTTTAACAGCTTATTCTACTTTCTGTCATTTTTTTCTCTATTTCTAGAATTCAGTACATATTTGATGCCCAAGCAGTAGCTTCATCAACACCTTTCAGAGTTTCCAAGTTTTTTGCTCATCCTCTCATTCTGCAGGATTTTCCCTGAATCGCTTCGCTGGTTGCTGGCAACCCAACACTACAGGCGCTCCAAAGCCATGATGCTGCGCATCGCCAGGAAGAACAAGGTTGACATGACAACAGAGCCCAGTGGAGTTCTTGCAGGTGAAGAGGAGTTTAGCAGATGAATGTTACCAAATTTACCTTCTGCTGCCTCACACTAATCCTTATGCAAGTTATTTCACACCATGTGATAAGTCTAAATTTAAATCTAGACTAAATCTTAGTGCATCTGCCAATAACAATTGTTCACAATTTATATCAGTCTCTATTCGTTTAATCCATATCATAAAAACATCCTTATCTCTGGAGCAGATAGTTAATTCTCTCATGTTTTAATGGCTTATATCATTTGTTTTCTCAGTCCTAAAGAACAAAGATGGCTAGTGTTTCCAGGCGCAGTGCCACTTTAGCTTCTCTGTGCTAATTCGTCCCAGAGCGTCCATCTCATTAGTTACTTAAAATAGCACTTAAGGTGTGTGTTTCATGTTTCCCTCCAGAGCTGGAGCAGGAGTTACACAAGAAACCTCAGAGGAGCTGCATTGTCAAGATGATGAGCACCAGGAACCTGTGGAAAAACATTGTGGTGTTATGCGTGAACTCGTAAGTGTGTTCTTTTGCTAATCCGAGCCAACTTCGGTGTTGACAGCTTAAATTAATTCATCTGTAGACAGACTACATCCTCTGCAGACTTCTTACTCGTTTCACAGCTCTTCTCACTGTGCATTTATCCAGTCTGACAGGTTATGGGATCCACCACTGCTTTGCCCGCAGTATGATGGACCCGGAGGCCCAGCCCACAGCTTTGTGCCACACCGACTACTACACCATGGCTGGCATTGCTGTGGCCACATGCTTGGCTCTTTGCCCTGCAGTGGGGCTGATGGGTCGGCGTGGAGGACTGCTCACCTTCATGATTATAACAGCTCTGGCATCGCTGCTGCAGCTGGGTCTGCTCAACTGTGAGTAAACACTTATCCCCAGGCATGGACTTTGAAGTTGCTATGGAAACTAGGAAAGTGGGCTTTGATTGATTGACAGAGCAATACTGATGTGAGATAACCGAATCTAATCAACCAAGAAGCTTTTAGTGGATGTTTACGCTCCAGCATATAAGAGCATTCCACCAGCTTTCTAAAGTACTGTTGATATTTTTACAAATAATATTTTGAGGGATTGCTTAAAAGTCAGCACCACTGTGCAAGCAGATGTCTCCTGTCACTAAATGCTCCCTCGGGAGGAAGGAATTCTGCAAAGTCAATGCAATCAGCTAAGTTTCATTAGATAGAAACCTTCTAACATTCTGCCTGTATGATTTGATCGGATCGACTGTAAATTTCATTAAGATGACATGTGCTGTATGGGCTATATGAATAACTGAACTGAAATAAATTTAAAAAGATCCTTGATGACCAGTGGAAAAAGTCTTGGGGAGGATTCTTATCAAGAGCAGCACCAAATTATTAGCAGAGATATTTGAAAGTTTTTACTGTGTAATAAACCTTTTTTCATAACATTTTTAGTTACCGTGTTTCATTGTTTTGCTTTGAAAGCAAAAATAAAATGCAAAGTAATGCATAAAGACTGACACTTCATGAGTTCATTCTTCTCTGATCTTAAAGGGAAATGCCTTTTTTTTCTTTTTTTTTTTTACATTGGCCCCTTGATTTTACGTTATTACATCATGTTCTACTCCCCCATATGAGACACATAGCTTGTGTCCCTTGATCACTTAAACACACTTTCTGATTTAGAAATGTTAAATTTAATTTAAATATCGAATCTTATATTAAACAGAAACTGGATGATGAAACGCACTTTAAATGTGGTGAAACATTAAAACAACACAGATTGCACTTCAAATATGTGCAGAACATAGACATTATTTAATGTCCTGCACAGGATTCCCTGAATGGCTTTTTTTATTTATCTTGTTCTGAGTCAGCACTGTTCTGCCCCGTTCTGCAGACTAATGAACTGCTCTCCTTTCTTTTCCTTTCTTCACTGCTCACTAATGGAATCCAGTGATTGGAAAGTACAGCCTTCGCCATGACACAGGTACTGCTGCTGTTACTGTAATCTGCACCCTAAAACTTTTTTTCCTCATTAGATCTCTTGCTTTGCTGACAGCGCCTTGTTTGTTTCTTTGATTTCTTTTTGGACAGTCCTTCGAGACACTTTGAACAGAAAATTCTCAGTTGCCTTCTCCATCATCGGCATGTTCTCCTCTCATGCCGTCAGCACACTCAGCATTTTCTTTTGTGCTGAAATCACTCCAACTGTCATCAGGTGAGTCCTCACACAGCTGTTGGTTCAAAGCAAACCTTGATGTATTTTAATCAACAGCTCAGTATAGTATTGTTCTAATGGTAACATTTTAATGAAGGGTAACAGCTCCCTCTTGTGGTCAAGTTTCCCACTGGGAAGCAGTTAATCTTTGGTAACTTCAAAAGGTTTTATTCAGGAAACATAATCATCTTAAAAAAAAACAATGAGCTTTGCATTCTGTTTTATTGTATAGATAAAATCAGACAAAATATGACTTCAAATAAATGGGAGTTGTTTTTTTCATATTCATCAAAACATTTGCTACTGAAGCAAAAATAGATATCACTGATAATTTCCCGCTTTTCACATCAGTCGGTTTTACATCTAAACCCTAAAACATTTTCTATGATTTCAAACTAACGCTTTTATTTTAATTAAAATTAAAGAAAAATGTAGCTAAATAAAATGCTAAAAACAGTGATGGGTTTTTCAATTTAATCGTCCACACCATGACTGTCCTTTGGAGAAACATTTTTGCCAAATTTTTCTTTGTTTTAAACAAGGAAATGATATACAAACCTTTTTATCTTCTTTCACCACCTTATTTCTAATTAAACTAGTTTCTAACTCTCTGTCATGAGTTAAAAAATAATTAGCGTCAAACATTGTTACTTTATTCTCTCATGAAAGGCAAACTTTTTATTAGATATTTTATCTGTGTGAAACCCTATTTTGAATACTTGGGTGATCTTGAAATGCACTTCATTTATTGTAACATAAGTAAAAACATGGACTGGCGACCTGTCCAGGGTGTACCCCGCCTCTCACCCATTAATTGCTGGAGATAGGCACCAGCACCCCACGCGACCCCACTTGGGACAAGCGTGTAAGAAAATGGATGGATGGATGAAGTAAAAACATCCTTTAACGCAAAAACAATAACGTTTTTTAAATGAAATAATCATTTAATTTTGTAGGACTTAATTTAACAAACATATATTCTGCAGTTTCAAAGGCTTGAAAGGTTCTTAATTGATAACAATTACATGGGAGCAGGTGGAAGAATAGAGTGACACGTTTACATGGAATACGTAGCTTTTATTTGCAGATTATAAAGGAGTTATTATTAGAATTAGCTAAGTAAAATAAAAATCAATGTTAATTATAGTCTGTTTCCAGAAATACATACTAGTTTTTTAAAGTCATGTCATTAATTTGGAAGATTGCATTAGATTTAAACTTTAAAATACATTTATTTGCATGTGAGTTGTGCTACACAATTTTTATATACAGGAAAATATGAAAACTAGAAGAGCGGACTGATCTGTTCCACCCATCTTGTTAGGATATGGCATGATGCAATCATTCCCTCTGGAATGGAAGGAACGTTTTACCTCGCAATGCTTTAGAGTGGCTTTCATGAGCTAAAACGTAGAAATAATCCTGTTGACGGTTAAACTAATTGTTAAACAATGCATTTTATGAGAGAGGTCCTAATACAACCTTTTAATTTCTGATAGAATTCTGATATTGCAGCAGCGAATATTGACCAGTACAGATATTGACCCCATATGATACCAGCATACGTACTTTTATTAATTGTTTCGCAGTGTGGGATGTTAGAAAAGGCTTAATCAAGTGATGTTACCTAAACAGGGAATTATGAGAACAACTGAACCCTTTGGTAATTAACAAATCAGCCGCACAAACTTTTAGCTTGAACAGAAGAGAATTCTAGTGGAAGGAAAACAAAAAAATGAAAAGATGAAGATAATAATGAAGTTTTATATTCAGCTGCTGTTACGTTCGCTCTATTTGCAGGATACAAGCATTACAGCCTGTTTTTTTTTAAACTTGCTTTTATTCTGCTTTTTTCAGGTATAATTGTTTTATTTGTTTTACAAATGTTTTTGCTTTTATTCTGCTTTTATTTTTCTATTTTATCATCAAATTCATGTAAAGCACGTTGAATTGTCCACGTACTGAATTGTGATATACAGATAATATTGCTTTGCCTTTCCTTACTGGATAAGCCTTGTTAGTAAACAGACCGATTTCAAATATCTGATAAATTAAAATTTATTGGGTTTAGGTTGTTTGAATATTTTAAATAACACTTTATACACCTTTATTGTCATTTTGTTTCAGAGAAAATGTAATATAAATATATTTTTACAGATCACACAGAAAATGTCTCTTCAATTTCAGAACAGCCAAAAAAAATAAAGAAAAAAAGCAGCATTCTTTCAGACTTGTGGCCTGTAGTGTGTAGCAACAGGTAGGGGAGGGGCAGCACTGCTCCAAGAGGTTTACTTTAAATGTAAAAATCTGTACAATAGCAAATGTGAACAGCTCCAGAACTTTTTCAGTTCTTTGGTCTGTTCTGATACCAGTAACCATCTGAGGCCTAAACCTTCTTTTAACAGCAAACTTGTTAGCCTAATTGATTTTTTTTTTGAAGGTATAACTGTCAGAAATTTCAAATTAAACTAATCCCATATCCTTCTACCTGAGGTGGTAAAAGAAATCCTGTCTAAAAATGTATGAATGAATCTATTATGATGCAATAAAGATAAAGTGGTCCTCTATTTTATTTTAACTCCTGGGTAAGTGTCCCAAAACTTTTTGTTTCAGTTAACTGGATTTCTTTTTGCTTTGTGCAGGGGTGGAGGTCTGGGCCTCGTCCTGGCTAGTGCCGGCTTTGGGATGCTCACTGCCCCCATCATGGAGCTACACAACCAAAAGGGCTACTTCCTGCATCATGTGATCTTTGCCTGCTGCACCCTGCTCTGCATCATCTGCCTGCTGCTGCTGCCGGAACCGCGTGGCCAGCCGCTGCCAGAGAGCCTGGCAGACGGTGAGACCTTCACCCGTCAGACGCTGCTCCATCCTGGGGAGCAGCATCTCCTCCTCGTCAAATATGAGAGGGACTACTCCCGTGTCCACGACACGCCATTACATCTCACAGCCACCGGGGGCACCACGGCGGCAGTCGCCACCGCTCTGGCAGCGGTGCCTGCCTCCTACTCTCTGGCAACAGGTGGTGAGGTGATAGGTAATTGTGCCATTGCCAATGGGGTATGAGCATCACAGCAATAGTCTTCTACTGTGCAAAAAAAAAAAAAAACTGATGCAGCGGTAACCAGATGTAAAATGTGATTAAAGTGTTCGGACAAACCAGATGAACTGCTGTTATACTGTAGTGAGGTTTGAGATGATGACATTATTTGCAAGTTAGGCTACTTTTTAGTGACAATGACTCATTCAGGAGTTGCCAAAAATATTGTAAGGGCCAAGTTTGTCTGGAGCCCAGAGTGTGAGGAGGGTTTGTTTTTTTATAGGCATGTAGACCAGCAGCTGATGAGTTTTGACTTGTTGAAACGTTATAATTCTGGATCCATTAGAGCGGGCCTAAATAGTTCTTAGGTGTGAAGAACTATTTCTGCTCCCTTCTTTTTGTTGGTCATGGATAACCTTAGTAAATACAAACAGCCTTTTTCAATAATGATTTCATTTATTAACTAAAATAAGATCTTATCTAACCAGCAGGGGTTTGTGTAAAAAAGCATTTGCCCCTTAAATGCCATAGTAGTTCATAATTGCATAAGAGTGACTTATAGAGATGAGGAGGAATTTTGGCCCATTTTTCTCTGCAGATTATTGTAAATTTAGCCAAGCATCAAATACATATTTAGAGCTGTACCACAGTAACTAAGTCAAACTGTAAGGGTTTCAATAGGCCACTCAGGCCCAGCTCAAACATTAGCTCTTTAGTAGAGCTAGTGAGATAGTTTAGCAGCTAAACTATCTCACTAGCTCTACTAAAGGGTGTCAAACTGGTTCCAGAAAGGGCCCATGTGGCTGCAGGTTTTCTTTCCAACCAAGCAATAGCACACCAGACTCCAGTCAATCGTCAAGTCATCAGGTTAATACTAAACTAACTTGATGAGATGACTGGAGTCTGGTGTGCTATTGCTTGGTTGGAAAGTTTGACACCCCTGGTTTAGCTGTTTGATTCAGGAGTGTAAGGCAAGGTACACCTGCCCTTAAAGATTTCAGTTTGAAGCCGCCGTTTGAGACAGATGTCTGGACGTCTGTTAATGATGTTCAATTCTAGTAGAAATCAGTTATGATTTAATCAATAGGTCCAAATCCTGAAGCAGCAGAGCTTGGAACATTTCATTTTTGGTCTTCTTGAGAATTCCTTAGAATAATATAGATCGGAGGTCTTCCAACAGGGGGTTCATGGAGGTACTGCATGGGGGTCGCGAAAGTTTTGGTTTATTACACTTTTTTTTTTTTTTTTTATATTCCCCCCTGCAGTTTTTCCCACTAATTGAAATGTATTTAAATACAAATTAACATGAATTCAACACTGTAGTAAACAAATAAATGGAGGCAGAAGATGTATTTCAGTCATCAATTCACACATTCAGCGACACATAGGAGCTCTTTCAATCTGGGCACCGTTTTACTCACAACACCTGTTCCATCAACCAGGAATCAGAAACACTTTAATAATCCCAGGGCGAAATTACTTTCATTACATGTCTCCATATGCAATAAAGTGACTATAGGAGCAGTTTGATATAACACAATTTCATACAATATATATAATTAGAGGGTCCCCGCTCCATTTCGCCATCAGTTTGGTGATCCTTGGCCTGGAAAACTTTGAAGACCCTGATCTAGAAGATTTATTTTTTTTGGAGTATGCTTGATTGGCCTTTTTCTGTAATTTTCGGTCAGCAGTGTGAACCCCTCTTGATAGATGTTCTCTCTCTATAATTGACCTGCCTCTCCTGGGAAGGTCAACCAATGCTCCATATTTTCTCTGTTTGCTGGTGTCCCTTAGAAATGGCGATCTGATCATGATTTTCTATAGATTGGGCCATGATGTGCTATTCTTCTAGTCTCCTTCATGCTTTCAGACTTTTAAGTCTGAAAGTGAAGTTAGTTTCACAAAAATGTATTTAACTTAGACAACTTTTAGACAATTAGTGATGACATCATCGAAAAAGGTGTATTTTACTCAGGTTATCTGTGATATTGATTTTAAAATTCAAGTGTGATTCAAATGCAAAAAACGGAAGAAATCTGTAAAGAGGCAGACGCGTTCACAGCAGAGTATGTCCTAATTATTTTTGCACTAATTGTCAAAGACGCAATCAAGTGTTTGTGAATTTTTTGCCAACATGTTGGAAGACCAGACTTATTTCTTTTTAGGGAAAGGGCATAAGGATTTTTACATATACGTTTACCCTTCCTTTATTCTTTTGCGTTCTCTAACTGAAGTCCCTTTATGGCACTTTATCCTGAGAGGTGCGGTCAGTGTAGACGCTCTTTAAACATGACCACTGTCAAGGGGGGGGCGTATGATAGTTTTGGGACGTTACGAGCAGCCGGAGAGCACGGCAGATTTTTACACGTAGCCTTTAGAGACTTTAGGAGACAAATCTGAGAGCTGAATGGATATCAGGGCAGCGTTCTGCTGCATGTCTAAATGATGTATCTCAGCTTTTTTTAATTGCTTTATCTCAATGGCTCTGGCTTTTTTATTTTACAGATCAAAGAGGAGCTGTAGACATGACAGTATTTATTTTCTAATGTCGCCAAGAGCAAAGTTGTTGCTTGAATTACCTCCTTAATTAGCAATTATTTCCACTCCAGTCGTCACTGTTCGTTCACTGTACTTTTATCGTTATAATCCTGTTGTTTCCATGTTTAACATTAGACAGAAAGCACAATAACTTACTGTTATTCAAATAAAAATGTGTGAAGATTAGAGCACAGCTGCGTAGATCTGGCTCAGTTGTTAACTGTGAACATTTATACTATGTGAATACACAGTAGGATTTGTACATGTGCCATTTATTCATAATGTGTGGATTATGATCACCACAGGTTTAGAAGCACATTGACTAGATGAACCAGGTAACTTATTCATCCGGACAACAATTCAAACCATCTAAGTGTTGTATGACTCACTGGTTTGTAAGTTTAACAGGTAAATCAACAAAAAAAAAAAACAAAAAAAAAGACTCAGTCTCTAATGCTGTTTTCTAAGTGTTATTTTTTTAATAAGATGCATTTGTACAAAAAGCCATAGGCATACATGTTTTGATAATAAACCACTTAATTTATTCTGTCAATAAAAAGAACAGTGGATGTTATCGTTTTTGTGTGTTGGGAGTTTCAATGGGAGAAACAGGAACTGTAAGGTAAGGGGACGTCCCGTGTGTTTTAAAAGTTCTCAGGGTGAAGCTCCAGCTCCTTTTTGATCCGGTTTTCCACCAACAAACTTAGACTGGAGTCGGTCATGGGTAGACTGTAACTCACAAATACTTGCTTTTGGGTCCTTTTTGCTGTGAAGGAAAGCAGATAAATCTGTGATCAGTTTATTAGACCGATAAGCTTTCCAAAAAAAACATGAACACTGAGGAAATTAGCAGATTTTCAATTTATAATGTTAAAGACATTTGGAAATGGGACCTAAGTTTAGAGGTAATTAACAAATGTGTCACTGAAAGAAGAAAATGCGAGCTGTTTAGGCAGTAGAATGGAAGGCAGATCTTTTAGTTATCAGGCTCCTCTCCTGTGGAACCAACTACCAGTTTTAGTCCGTGAGGCAGACACCCTGTCTACTTTTAAGGCTAGGCTTAAAACTTTCCTTTTTTGATAAAGCTTATAGTTAGAGTGACTCAGGTTATCCTGAGCTATCTCTATAGTTATGCTGCTATAGGCTTAGCCTGCTGGAGGACATAGGGACCCCTATTTCGTCATCCTGCTTCATTCCATCTCTATTCTCCCACTCTGCAGAATCTGTTAGTTCAATCTCTGACTTAATGCTCTCTGTTTTTACCTCTGTTTTCACCTCTTCTGTTCCTGTTTGGCTGTGACCCCATCCTGGAGAAAAATATCAGCTGTTCTTCTGCCATCAACACCTTTGTTTATAGATGTTGGAGATCGGCCTGTTTTTTAGTGTAGTCCTGTTTCTCATAGCTCGTCTGCCTGGCTGTGTGTTTCCTGGATGGGACCGCCTTTCATTGCTGCTTTCTGTGTCACTGCTTCTGTCTCCTTGAACCCCAGTCGGCCCCAGCAGATGGCCGCTCACACTGAGCCTGGTTCTGCTGGAGGTTTCTTCCTGTTAAAACAGTTTTTCCTCTCCACCTTCGCTACAAGCATGCTTAGTTTGAGGGATTGCATTAGAGTCGATGCAATCAACTGGTTTTCCTTAGATAGAAAACTTTGAATCAGTTTTACTGTATGATCTGGTGAAATGTGTTGAAAATTGGCGCTATAAAAATAAACTGAATTGAATTGCACTTTTATAATGATAATTGAACTTTATTGATCTCGCATTGGAGAACTTAACCTCTGCATTTTACCCATCCCTTTGGGGAGCAGTGGGCTGCCATTGTGCGGCACCGAGGGAGCAGTGTTGGGTTAAGGGTCTTGCTCAGGGACCCAGGTGGCAGGCAGTGAGGATGGAACCAGATACTTGCAACCTTCTCAGGTTGCTCTAACCCACTAGGTCCTTTTCACTTTTGACAAAATGAAAACACAGCTGTTGCAAATTCAGCCAATAATTACCCTGCACCACTCCATGATTAAATACCACGTCTATTCATAGAAAAATAAACATTGTGATAAAGCAAAAACTGAAAATATCCCTTACCTAACCTCTGTGCCAAAGAGTTAGCAGCAGTATTAGACGGATCCCCCATCACTAGTGTAGATAACGGCATTGAATCCTGAAGGCAATAATGGAGAAACATTTAACGATGTTTTAGGACTACCTGCGACATGCGGGAACATGGCAAATAAGTTAGCTAATTTACTCACGTATCTGCTGCTCATAGAAACCGCCAGGTTGGACAGAACCGGAGCCGAACCGACCCACAGGAAGAAGCCGCCGTCCAGCTTCATCACGTGGAAGTGGACGACCTGCTCCAGAATCTTGTCGGAGAAATTATGCACCGAAATCCCTCTAAAGTCTGAACCATTCTGCATCTCAGTCATCCTGACGCGCTTTCTAACGCTAACATTTAAAACAGCCACTTCCTGGTTGGAGGAGAATGGCAGACTAAAGCAATCGATCTGAGATGGAACGATCAAACATCACAGGAGACTGATTGAACTCGGAAAACAATCGTGATGTATAAACATAATGATGTATGAGTGTTTTTTTTTTATTTTTTACTGCAAATAACAGTTTCTCTTTTTTTAAATGTAATTGAACGATCACCAAATGTTATTCAGTAAACGCTCTTTAATCTTGTATTGAACTGATCTAAATCAATGGACTGACTAACAATAGTCACAAATTCTACTTTGTTATTGTAGAAGACTTTGCTCTTGGCTAGAGAATGGTTTTCAGGGTCAAACATTTCTAGCAGCAACAATTTCCCCACTTTCAGATATATTTTTCCCCCTTTTTTTGGTCACACTTTAATGTTTATGATGATCAAATAAAATTGATGATCACATTTTATACATCATTAACTAAAAAAGATTAATCAAAAACTATACCACACTAAAAGAAGTTCCTGCATTCTATTTATAAAGGAAACATTTGGCCAGATGTATAAAGATAATGGCCCCAAATCAAAACAGCTGACTGTGCTCCTGGTTCTGCTCGAGGTTTCTTGTTGTTAGAAGGGAGTTTTTCCTCTTTACTGTCGCTACAAGCATTCAGTGTGAATGATTGCATGCAATAACTGGTTTTCCTAACATAGAAAACTTTAAATCAATTTGACTGGATGATCTGGTGAACTGTAAAGAGATGACTTGTGTTGTGAATTGGCGCTATATACATAAACTGAATTGAACTGTCATTCACAATGATATGACTAGTTCCTCTGTCCTTTTGAAAAAAATAATTTGCTGACAATGATATAATGTCCTGACTGATGTCTTCAAAAGTTTATTCAGTATTTCACATCTGCTAATAGTGATGCCATCGCATGAGTATATTGCTGCAACCAACAATTATTTGCAAATCGATTAATCTGTTGATTATTTTTTCGATTAATCGATTAATAACCGGATAGCCAAAGGTCCTTTAAAGATTTTTTACAAAAGTAAATCAGGTGAAACTAAAACTTTCGTACTTTAGGAGTTCCGGATAGAACATATCAACACATTTGTTTATATAATCTTTGACAATTGGTATAATTACTTCAGTAAGTGGGTCGCTGGTCAGCTACAGGCATGTTCTACAGTCTCTATACTCCAGTTAAAGATTAATTGATTACGGAATTAGTTGACGATTATTTAAATAATTGATTCATCAGGATTAATCTGATTAATTGTTTCAGCCCTATTGGAGTGCTTTCTCTCTTCTTTGCTTCAAATGTTTGGTTACATCTTTTTTTATTTTCCAAATTTTGACATTTAGGAACCAAAAGAAAACTTCTCTCAAAATGTCCTGATTTTCAACATTTTCCCTTCTAATTCTGGAGCTTTCCACCCCAATTTAGGAGATGGATAGGATAAAAGGAGATGGTGAGCCATGTTAGCAGAAAATTAGATCCGTTTTAATGGCTGTGAACAGATTGGAAGATCTCAGATTTTTTTTTTTATTTGTTAAAAAAAGAAGAAAAATAGCAAGACGATTACACAGAAGTGGTTCAGACAAAGATTAGTGTTTTCAAATTAAAATAATAAATGATGAATTGCTTCATTCTTCCAGAAAGTCTTCAACTAACTTGTTAAATTCCTCAGCATATTTCAGGTGGAGATTATGCTTTCCCTCTGGCATTAAATGCAACCTGGACAAAAATAAAACAAAAAAATCGTTTCGGCTCATCTTTTGCGATTAAATTAATGTGATAAAGATTTTTGTTTAAAACATCCTCTCACCTTGACCCTTTTATGTTTTTGTGGAGGTAGTGAGGGTGGAAGCTGGGAACCATGGGATCTTTCTCTCCATGGATGATCAGGGTTGGACAGCGGATTAGTGGGAGAAGCTCCATGCAGATGCTTCCTAAAAATGAAATGTAAAAGTAATCATTTAGCTTAAAAATAATTTAAATAAATAAAGCATAAAATTATTTCTTTTGTTTTCTGTTTTTGACATAAACAAGGAGGAAATGGTCATTTAAATGATGATGTTATTCCTCTGTTACATGGAGTCCTAACCTTCTGGTCTGTTTATAAATTGAGCAATGCCATCCACCCAGCTTTCCCATATTTTAGCAAATTCTTGGGCTCCGTACACTTCCTCCATGGGTTGCCGCATCCTTGTGCTCCACTTGGAGACATCACGGACCACTGGATGTACCCACAAATAATAAAAAAAAAAACACAACAGGTAAGAAAGAAATGGCTAGTTTAAAAACCTGCATCATTTCTAGACAATAAAAACTGCTGTACTGTTATAAAGCTTCAGGTCATCCTTGGAAACAAAGGCATTAGATCCCCAGACAACCATCTTATTTATCAGTTCAGGGTTCCTGGCAGCTGCAATCAGAGCAGTGATTCCACCGTCACTCCAACCCAGCAGAGAGAACTTCTTAAAGCCCAGAGTCTGCCAAATACATACAAAAATTAATTGCAAACTAAATAACAGACAAAAAACTCAATCCTTTGTAAAAGACTATGAGAATACATTTTGAAAAAGTATGCATTTTTGTGTTTTACCTTTCGTCATAAGAGAACATAAATTGTTTTATCATAAAGGCAGCTATTAGAATTTTATATGCCAGGCAGCCAGGCAGCTAGTGTTCAATCTGGATTAGAAATCTCCCTTTTCAAATCAGAACGACAACTTTTGGAAGTTTGCCAGGGAAATTTTAAAGCTTAAAACTGAGACATCTGAGCTTTAATTTGATTAGAACTGGATCAAGTTTAAAAAGACTCATGAGAGAAAACATGACATCAGTTTTCTGTCACATATTGGATTAGCTTCAGCATAGATCTTTTTATTAAAATAAATCAGGGTATTCAAATATCCCCTCTATAGTATTCTCTCAAAATAGAGATGCAGTTATTAACCTTTTGATCAGTTTAATTCTTCCACATAAATCAAGCGGATTATAATAAGCAACCCCCACCAAAACCACCACCAAAAAAAAAAAAAAGAACTATTCATTCAGTTATCGGTTCCATGGTTTCATTGTTTCCTTTATAACATTGTATGTACACTCAGCTGGTTCTACTAAGTCCTTTAGTTATAACCCATTCAATATCACAACAGGTGTTCCCCAGAGCTCTGTCCTCAGATTCCTATTTTTTAATTATCAATCCTCTTTGCCTTTGCAATATCTGCTGCACTGAAAAAAATAATGCAACCGCCTTTGGCATTTACTTAAGCATGTTTAGTTAATTTAACACAATCGTTTTATGTACTACCCAGCTAAAATGACAAAAATTGTGTTATAGTAACTAAATCTGTTTAAATAAATGCCAAAAACTGTTGCATTATTTTTCAGTGTGGAAATATAAAAATCACTGTTATGCATTTACCGTTATGCATATGACACCCAGCTCTATCTTACCACACTGCATAAAATTTCTAAACATAAGTACAAATTTCTAAAAATAAGGGTATTTACCCTTAATTTGAGCAGGTAAATAAGATAATCTGCAAATGGAATGATTATTTTAACTCTTAAAATACAAAAATGACGTATGATGACATAAAACAATATAACTGTTTTTGTTTATTTAAAATGTAAGTTGTCTTTTTCCATCGGCAATGAGTCTCACTTACCTGCTTTATTCGAGAAAAAGTATTCACTTTTCTTAAGAAAAATGGACTTAGATTTCAATTTTTTGCATTGTGGTAAGCAAAGCTCCACACTCCAGTTTTCCTTCCTAATCTCCTGCTCTTCTGAAATAAAATCATTCTTCACCTGCAGCTTCTTTACATACAACAATAAAAAAAATTAATTGATCCTCCTTGTGGGAACCAAAATCTGTATTTCTCCAAGCTGACAGTATCGTCCTTTCACTTAACAGGTCTATGGTCTAACTCTCACCTCAGGTTAGCACTTCATCCTCCACCTCTTACATCAGTAACATTACCCATTCTGATTATTTTTAATGGAGGCAGAGAATATGGCCCACTCAGACTCCATGTCTCCAGCCTCCCACGGTATCTGGGAGAAGCTCCACTGGAGGTGGGAGTTGAGCACATCCCTGACCGAGGACTCAACCAGACCTTGCCAGCAGATCCTCACTACTAGCTTGGGCATGCCAGGTCTGTACAGCTTCCTCCTCTTCGAGCATATCCAGCTTACCACAGCTTTGCCCCTCTATTCATCCGAGTGTCAAAGACATGTGCCCGGAGGTCAGAAGATAAGACTACAAAGTCGATCATTAACCTTTGAGCTAGGGTATCCTGGTAGCAGCTAGACACCCTGTCTACTTTTAAGGGTAGGCTTAAAACTTTCCTTTTTGATAAAGCTCATAGTTCAGTTCAAGTTATCCTGAGCTATCTCTATAGTTATGCTGCTATAGGCTTAGACTGCTGGAGGACATAGGGACCCATATTTCATCATTTTGCTTCATTCTATCTCTATTCTTCCACTCTGCAGAATCTATTAGTTTAATCTCTAACGTTATGCTCTCTCTGCTTTTTCTCATAGTAGCTATGCCTCTTTTGTTCCTGTTTGGCTGAGACACAATCCTGGAGAGAAATATCAGCTGTGCTGCTGCCATCAACATCTTTGTTTATAGATGTTGGAGATCAGCCTGTTTTTCCAGTGTCCTGTTTCTCTGACTGTGACTAACTGGATGTGCTCTTTTCATCATCTGATATGGGAGCTGGCTCAGAGCTCGTCTGCCTGGCTTTGTGTTTCCTGGATGGGGCCGCCTTTTTGTGTCTCTGCTTCTGTCTCCTTGAACCCAAGTCGGACTCGGCAGATGGCCGCTGACACTGAGCCTGGTTCTGCTGAAGGTTTCTTCCTGTTAAAAGGTATTTCTTCCTCCCCACCGTTGCTGCAAGCATGTTTAGTGTAAGGGGACCGAGGTTGGGGATGCCTGATCTAGTGAACTGTAAAGTGCCTTGAGATGACGTGTTGTTACTTGTTGCTATATAAATAAACTGAATTGAATTGAAATTAAAATGCAATGGTGGACATCCTTGTGCTTAAACATGGTGTTCATTATAGACAATCCGTGACTTGCACAAAAGTCCCGTAATGAAACACCATATGGGATCAGAGCTGTGGGGCCATTCCTCCAAATCACACCCCGCCAGGTTGTATTGTTATTATATGTTTAACAGCTCGCCTTCATTAGATCCACTCCATCCTTTGCATCCCTCTCAAAGAAGTCAGCAGGGAAATCTCGATCTGGGGGACGGGACTGTCCATACCCACGCGGGTCCCAGCCAACCACAGTGAAGCTTTCTTTGTTCAGAGACTTTAGCTGAGGACCGAAATCTGTCTTTGTGCTCCCTGTTGTGGTAAATTAGGATGTATTTTAGACAAGTTCTTGAAACACTTAATTGGAATGGTAAATCTGTATTACTTTGTTTACCTAGAGCACCAGGGAGAAGAAGAACGGCATGTTTCCCTCTTCCTGTTTGCTCGTAGTACAGATCAACGCCGTTCACATGTTGCCTGCCAGAGGACATCGAAGAGCTGCAGACAAACAATGTGCATCAGAAAAAAAATAAGGGGAGAGATGCTTAAAAAGTGTTTGGTTCAGAAGGCCATAATGATCACAACATGATAACCTGAACCATTTTGTGTGGGGAAAGAAAGAAAGAGAGAAAGATACCATTAAATTTAGAATAAATAAGTAAACCAATCTGAAAGAGTGGCAAATTCAAAAGATCCCATAGGCTAAAGCATGGCATGTGTCAGTTACTTATTCATTGTTTCCTTTATAACTTTTGTTTTTACTAAAAGATTTGATCAAACCTATCTTCCCCTTTTGTACATGCATTTAAACAAATAGTCACAAATGGTGTCCTTAAGACCAAATTGATTCTTTTTATTTTTCATTGGTAACTTTTTGGGTGTTACAAATGTTAAAAAGAAGCTAAAGTCCAAAGACTTACAAATATTCAGTAATCCTTTTGTTGACACCCCTTTAAAAGATAAACAAAATTCAAAACAGCCATGCGCCCAGCGGCTGCACTCTGGATTAAAGCAGTTAAACATACATCAATGTACCTGCATTCCACTTTTAACTTTTCAAAAACAAGTTTCTATTTGTAAAAGGACATTCGGCTTTGTTTATTTTTCCTTTCGCACAAATGTTTACATACATCCTACTTACAAAGATCGGGTATATAACACAGGATTTCCTAAGAACAATACAGTTAAAAAATAATTTAAGCCCGAAAATAGATGAAAAGTACTACTGGACTCTTTTTTTTTTTTTTTTTTTTGTATCTGGTTAGATGACATCACTTGGGGATTAGAAATGAAGCTGACCCACTGGAATTTGTAAACATCAAGAATTTTATATGAATTCTGAAGTTATTCCTAAGTCATATGTAAGTTGAACTATTTGAATGAGCTTCTCAGTACCTGGGAAACATGTAGTAGGCCCTTTTCTCTATTTTGGTCTGTACTGCAGAGCAATTTGCCCCAGTCCCTGAAAGGAGGAACTTCCGTCTGCCTGCCTTGTGATGAATGTGAGAAGAAACGCATCTGATGCAGCAATTCTTCCAGAAAAAAATTAGGGCCTGAAAATCATTTTAGCAGAACTTTTGTAACCAGCGATAATGCTTTAATAAGGGCTTCGCTCCACAGAAGAGTTAAGGGTCGTTCACAAGGCCATCTAGCAAAAACCAGTCTGCCCCACTTCTCTTTACAAACATTTTACTGTTTGATGGTAAAGAGAACTGCTGCTGTTTAATTGTAGGCCTATCTAGTTTTCAATAAATCCACAGTCTTCTAACAGATAGCATACGGTGAAATTGCTCTCGTACAGTTACCAAGGTAATCAACTAAAATACAGCCTTAAACATAAAAAATAAGTGACATTTAGAACATACATACTTGAATCTCCTATCAATAATTTCAAATCCATTTAAGCAGAGTTAGAGGTGCAGGCTTCTCTGTTGTTTTAAACCAGGGGTCACCAACGTGGCTCCTAAGAGTCTTCTGAAAATAGAACAACTTGCCAGTGGTCTAAGTTTGAAATTTTATTTTATTGCTCTTCTTTTATAATCATTTATAGAGAATTTCAAAATGACATTCTCTAAATTAAATTAATAAATTGAAACAATAAAAAATATGTTCATAATGTACTGTATTGGTAGCCCTTCCTATGAATCATTACCCTTGAAGTGGTCCTCAGCCTTAAAAATGCTGGTGACCCGTTTTAAACAGTTAAAGAAGGACTAGAAGAATGGCGCCATCTAGTGGACATAAACAGTCGCTGAAGTAAAAACAAAGCCGCGCCGCCATACGAAGGCGCAACTAAAGTCCTGTCTAACTGAAATCTTTGTTTAAAAAAAGTTTATAGATCCCTGTTCATTAGATTTAACCATAAACTACTGAACTCAATGCAAACAGTTACCAGTAGAGCCTCGAAGCCTCAACGATCGTCCTCGTTTCTCTGCTGCATTTAAACAAACGCTTTAGAGTCCAAAGAAAGGCCATCTGTCAGTCAGCGGAGCAGCTTCACGTTGGATTGAAGCGGTTAGAAACTGTCCACAGTCCACTCTGTCCGTGGGTTGGATGTAGGTGTTTATTAAGGAAGTGCAGGAGTGGGGCTCACTCTGCACACGTCAGGAGAATTTTGAAGCGAAAGTGCCGGAAAGAACGCAAATGCTTATTTTACTTTAATTCCTTTTTCATTGTAGAAAATCATTTTAAAGATGTGCATTGCCTCATGTAGTGACAAATGGTAATAATAATAATAATAATAATAATAATAATAATAATAATAATAATAATAATAATAATAATAATAATAATAATGCATTTCTTTTAAGTGGAAATTTTAAAATGTTTAGCTCTGTTCCCTTTAATTCATGTTAAGGACACTTCCCAGGTACAGAGAAATTCAAAATGATTTAAACACACTGAAGGTGAAGATAGCATCCAATTATTTATTAAAAGTATTGAGGATTAAATAAATGCAACCAGAAGGTGAGTCTAGCAGTGATTCAAAGATGTACCTCCTCCTCCTCAATGTCTCCCAGTTAGGGGGGAATTCACCATTATGCAATATAAGGCAGTTGCCTATGGCCCCAAGTTTATGAGGGCCCCATACAACTCTGTTTACTTATATAGTTACTACAACTATTCCTGATTTGTGCACATTTATTATGTTTTTGATAAAAATCCAAAAAATCACAATATTCAGCGACTTTTCAGACCCCTCTAGCACTTTTATTTCAGAAAAGCGCCTATTGCCAAATCTAGCAACTTTTTTATGCTAATGGATACATTGGCAACAACATATAAAAGCACCAAACTCTGCTCTCCAAAGCAATACTATGCCTCCTATGTCATGCAAATGGAAAATGGAGAACAGATTAGCAGATCATGGTTTGTTTAAAGTGAAAAGAAGGACTTGGTTATTTACTTTTGCCGTCGCCTTTTTGAAAACACAGGAAAGAGCAATCAGCTAAGTGAGTTTAGACAGTATGAAAAGTCAGCTGAGTACAAAACATAGAGGGGAAAACAACAAGAAAAGGGACAAGAAGAGAGGGACAAAACATAGAAAACAGAATGTATGTCTATTCTATGAAATTTCCTGCATCAGTATAATGGGTTTGTTTTATGTATTGTCTTCTCAATTCAGAGGCCCCCAGGCCTGTTTTTGCCTAGGGCCCCAAATTTCCTAAATCCGCCCCTACTCCTGGTAATGATGGATTATAAATGAAATTGATAAAACATTTGTTGATTATTTACCTCCATTTTTGGAGGTAAATAAACTATGTTTGAAGAAGCCATTGAAAAACTCCCTTTAATAGAAAGAAACCTCCAGCAGAACCAGGCTCATTGTGAGCGGCCATCTACTGAGGCCGACTGGGGTTCAAGGAGATGGAAGCAGATAATGAAATAAGTTATTTTGGTGCTCGGGCCCTGACAGAAGATGTTCATGTTGTGAATTAACATTCACTTGGATGAGTAACCTAGGAAAATTGGAGTAGTATTCGATTAAAGGCCTGAAAACTGGTGGTGGAATAAGTCAGAGGGTGAGTGGGACTGAGAATAATCTGAGAGTGAGGAAGGAGATGGGGTGGAGGGGAATGAAAGTCCACTTGAGTGCAACTAAATGAAAGGGATCTTGAAAGATGATTGGCTTTGGAAAAGGTGATTCCCTGAATTGATTGGCTGGAGCTGGTCAAGGGACATTGCAGGTGGTTCAGGTGAACTGATAAGAGTCTTCCAGATTGAATTGTCACGTATGCTTCATTAGTAAAACAAAATCAAAGAAATGTAACATGTGGCTAACGAAGGGTCTTTCTTTAAAATGGCAGAGTTTAACTGTCCAAGGCTGAAGGGATATCACTAATGTTTATGTATGTCAAGCTTTGGAAACGCCTGTAGCAAGATTTGATTCTATTCAGTGTCATTTGGTGAAACGAATCATTATCTAAAAAGAATAAACACAATGCAAGACAAATGGAGGTTGAGAAGTCTTAAGTAATGAAACCATAAACAATAGTAAATGGCAAATTAAGTTAATTCAAGGGGAAGAATGCTTTGCCTAGATTTATTTTCAGTCAATTGGAGGACACCACTTCTTGTTAAAATGTGTCTATAATCCTTATAAGTTACCTATAATGTTGGCAAATTCCCACAAGCAAGTTGTACTGGTAGTGATGTGGGAGTTTGTAGGAGAGCTGCTGTCAGTTGGATAGAGTTTGGATATATTCTAAGAGTAGATTGGATGGAAAAACAACTGATCTAGTTGGCTGAAACTAGTTGGTTACCGTAGATTAAACAATGTAATGATCAAAATCTGAGCAAGCCACTGGTCACAAATGTAAGCAGTTTTAATTATTGCTTATGGTCTCATTTTTATCTTGCTAGTGGTGTCAGCTGTAACAGATGGACTTCCACTCTTGAGGTTTATGGTTTAAGACCCATCCTAGACTTTTGAAAGTTGCTAAAAAACATGTTTTTTTGGCTTATGTGACAAATTTGTATTGGTTTGCCCATGTACAAATATAGATTGGGTAAAAACACTACCAAAGTTAGATTGGTTGGTTTGACCAAAAGATTGGTTGAACACATAACTTCCAACCCAATTAAAACCAAAAACTCTTGAAAAACTATTATGTTTGAATATAATGAGTAATACCTTTCGTTTTGTTCATCGATGTCAATTTGCACAAGCACTTTCACTGCTTATTTCACTAAATTGGCAGAAAAACAGTTTCTCTCTTCTAAGACATTTTACACACAAAAAACTTACAAAAGATTTTATTATGCAGACTAATCATTAACAATTTTAAAGGAAGTGATTTGAGGAAGAAAAAAAAAAAAAACAAGGAAAACAATTGCCAAAAATCAGACTATATTACTAACTGTAGTTCTGCATTTCACCAGTAGGTGGTGACACATGTTAAGATGAGGCTTCATCTCACCATCACTATCTGCTGTCATGGAAGATGCTGTACAAACAGCATTTCTCGCCTATACTAGATATTATATTTGGAATAACAGTATTGTTTAGTGTAAAAAGCAAAAGCTGGGCCATTTTAGCTGTTGTTTTAATTTCACAACTGATGACAGTTATTGCTTATTGCTTTTCAAAGAATTGATTTCTAAATTTGATATTGCAGTTATAGCAAAGTTATATGAAGATGTTTTTACTGCTGTCCCAAAGAATATTTAACAGCTCCTTATTGGATCTGCTGCTGAGTGTATTATAACAGCTTCTCTTAACAATATTCTTCTGGGAAGTGTTAATCTTATAGAAAACAAATGTTCAAATAAATACATCAGAAATCTGTTGGGAAATGCAACGGGTCCTTCTGCTATTTATTTTTGTTCATCTCATTTTAAGGACATTGATTGAAAAAAAGGAGTTAGTGAGTAATACATTTGTCTTTATAATAAAATCTAAGATGTATGTTAGAAGATTATTCAGAAGGTGTATCTAGTCAAAAAGACAATACAGAAATTTATTATTTATATAGAGTACTTGCGTACTTTTTATGAATTAAGCCCAGAGGGTTTTAGGAGCAATTTTTGCTTGAAATTACATGTGTAACTAAATTAAGTATAGCTCCAAAGTTATAAGTCGTAAATGTAAAAAACAATATTTGCACAATACAAAGTTATAAAATAATATTTTTCCAGTCAAACCACTATTACAAGCATTATCATTTCTGATTTATAGGAGATCAAACAGAGCAAAAATAAAAATTTTTAAGCCTCATCATTTTTTTTTTCTTTTTTAGATAAACACAGCAAAACATCATGAAAACCCTTTTGAAATTCTCGATGAAGCCTCAGAATGTATAGGACCACATCTTGACAATGATTGCAGCAAATTTGGACTGTGTGGGTTTATTTGTTTCACAAAGGTTTTAGTGTTTAGTGTGGCAGGCGGACCTGTACTTTTGGTACAGAAGTGCCGAACATGTCCAAAACATTCCAAATATATATATATTTTTTTACCATTATACACAGAATAATATCAATAACCTGAATAGAAAATTACATTTTTTCTGATTACAAGATAGGGCCGACTTATTTCCAACTATACAACAAAAACAGCCAGAATAGTTGGGGTCCAGAAAGTCTGCCTAGAACACAGAGCACAATAGTTTTTTACTTGTATTCATGGTGGATAAATGTGTCTTTCAGATTGGCAGTAACATGTTTCGGAGAGCTGAAGCCGACCAAAAAGCTTTTTATAATCTTTTTTTTACTGGTTGGATTGAAGCAGAACGTCAAGCTCTTTAATTTGACCGTTCTTTGTTGGTTGCTTTGAATTTTGTTATTTTAATGTTTTATGACAACCAAATGCTAATGTCAGACACCGAGTGGCCTTATCAGAGGGAATCCAGAGCTTATTGCTTACCCTAATAGTGATCCCTGACAAATGTGGGCTGTTTTAGATTCTGTGGTGAAATACTTAAAAAGAATATGTTGCTTGCTCTTATGAAATGACTTTATTTGTCTATTTAGAGCCTATATCTCTAAAGGGTTGTTAAATTACTAGTTTAGGGATTGTATCTTATTAGGCCCCCATTTTTGTTTGATTAATTTTGAAGATAAAGAGTTCTTGTTCTGTTTTTTTTTTTCTTATATTTCAACTTTTTCCAATATTTTACAGGACAAAAGTTCTATACCAAAACACACATGTAGTACAAAATAAAAGCAGACAATGAAAAGGCTCCTCTTTAGGAGACTGAAAAAAGTCAGAACCTTCCCATCCAGCTGAAGACATCTATAAGATTAAAGATGTAAAACGAAAAAGAAAAGCTGCTGTCTCTGTGCAGATTAGCTGCTGACAGAGCAGAAACGATGGCGCTCTGCCTCGCATTACTGCTGGGCGGATAAAGATTACTCAGCATTAATGAAGTAAAATGGGCCTGATTTAGATGGAGGAACTCTAGAAAATAAAAGATCAGGAAAGAGATTTCACATCCCCTTAGCTCAAGATCTTTTAGAAATTGATTCTAACACTAGTCTTCCTCTCCTGGTGTATTTTCACTAAATACGGCCCATTTCCTGTCTGTTTACAGAGTGATTAGGGCCACATGGAGACAAACATCAAGGAATAATAATAATAGTTGTTTTATTTATAAACTACAGTAGTGACAACCAGGAAGTTGGAGAAGATAACATCAGAAATAAAAACAGAAATTATGTTTAACTGAACTCAATGAAGAACAGTTGATTTCCAGAATAAAACCCATCATGTTTATCTCAGCCTGTTTTAGACGTTTCACTAATAAATGGTTTGATACCATGTTCCTGTACCTACCAGAGAACACTGGATCGGGTCGTCTCCTCTACTCCTTTTCATGATTAAATCAGGTCTTTAGGACCACAATGAAACTACTTCCAATAAGTTCTAATCAAAGGGATCCGGCTCCTGTTGGGACCTTTTGGATCCGATGAGCAGCAGAGCCTCTGGACCCGACCAGAGCTCCTAGAAGGTGAGCAGAAACCCCCCTTTAGCTGTCATTAAATGGTTTTAAAGCTTCATTTTAAGTTTTTATTCAATGTTTGTGCTTAGAAAGGTGAAGCTGATCCGGTTCTAAACCCAACCAGAATAATAGCATTAATAAAGCAACAAGCCTTCAAAACCACAGTTCCTTTAATACGCCATCTTATTTGCAGGTAAAAACAATGTCAGTCTGGACAGTTTCTGGATCGCTGGCCTCTCATCACCTCAGAACTAAGTTCCGTTCCCTGGAGGGACCATGGGATGTATTGTCTGTTCTGGAGAGGTGAATCCTTCATATCAGGGGGAAACTGTTGGGCCTGCTGTTCTGCTGAACCCGACTCAGGTCTCAGCGGGTCTGGCTGGTGCCTCTATCCCAGCCCGGTCTGGGTGTGGCCTTTACTTTGTACTTGACAGGCTGGAGAACGACACCAAACTTTCCTTCCAGGCTGGGCAGGGGATGGTCCGGCGGGACCGAGAGGGTGAAGCGCTGCAGGATCCAAGACAGGAAGAGGAAGAGCTCCATCTTGGCCAAGGCCTCTCCCAAACATACTCTGATCCCAGTACCGAAGGGCAGGTAGCTGGACGAGGGCACTGTGAGCCCGGTGCCTTCACTGTCCAAGAAACGTCCTGCAGGAGAAACATGGATCCAATCAGAACAGAACATCCAAAACCAGACTGCTTTCTGATCCAATAAAAGGTGTTTATTAAACAAAAAAAGAAGAACCATCAGATCATCCTGCCCTTATCACTTCTGATAGGAATGGGATCAGTTAATCATAACCTCTGTATCATCTTCATCCACATTGTGATTATTCCTCCAGTTAGAAATTAGTAGCTGAACTGGAGTTATCAGCTCCAGTGGGGTCAGGTGTACTGACTCATCTTACTGACAAAGAACCTTTATTCTTCTGTAGCTTCATGCTCATTGTTTGGGTCTCACCAGGGTCGAAGAGCTCAGGATTGGTCCACTCCTTCTCATCGTGATGAAGAGACCACAGGTTGATGATGACTCTGGTTCCTTTTTTAACTTTGAATTCCCCGATACTGTCGGGAGCAAACAGGCCCAAATGTCTCATATTCTGATTTAACGCAGGTAAATATACAGGTTAATTCCTGGGATAAATCATGAAAGAGTTTGGACTGAACCTGGTGTCGCTCAGAGCTACGTGAGGGATGAGTAGGGGAGCCACAGGACGGATCCGTAGCACCTCTCTGATGGTGGCTTCCAGGTAGGGCAGGCTGCCTCTGTCGCTGAGGCGGGGGGAGCGGTCCACTCCAATAATGGTGTCCAGTTCATGCTGGACACACCTTTGGACCTGGAACAATAGCAATACAGAACCGCTGCAGTCAGAAGCTCCTAAGGAGCAAACCTACAGAGACATCCACTTGGTGTCTCAGGACCCCCCATGGGATCCAAACCCCTAGATTGAGAACCCCTGATCTAGGATCCAGAAAGAAATCAAACTTTTATTAAAACACATTTACTCATTATGGAAAAAATCTCATCTGTCCCTGCTTTTACAACTCTGCAGTACCTCCCTCTACCAATTGGACGGCTCTCTGTGTTCTCCTCTACCATTTCACCAGGTTGGATTATTCAGAGGCCCACAGCATTACCGATGAAGGTCTCGCAGTTCCAAACTCTGATACTGGAACCAGTCTGAAGAGGTCTAAAGGTTGTCATGGAGACCCAAAGATGTCTTGTCCAGCCTTATAGGTTAGAGGCTCCAGGGGACCTCTGTGTGTCACCTCAGCTTTAAACCCCAGGAAACAGGAAGGCATCAAGCTCTAATCAGAGCTTCCCAGAAAACCCACTCAGTTCAGGAACATCAGGAGTTTGGTTTTAAAAAATAAATAATTTCTAAAGGTTCTGAGATTTTTCTGCAACAATAAAAGTTTAAAGTATTTCAATGCATAAAAATGCTATCTGGGTGTGTAAAACCTTAGAAATAAACACAGGAAGAGAGGGGGGAATCATTAAAGGTTCAGGACATGTCATTCAGAGAAGTAATGCTGCCCCATAGAGGGTCTAACAGGAGCTACAGCTTAAACAGCATTAAACCTGCTGGTAGTTTATCATGTTGTAGATTAAACCGAAGCACAGAGGGGTTTTCTAACTTACGTCTGGATGGTGGATGAGGTAGGTGACTGCCCATTTCAGCACTGTGGTGGTGGTCTCCACGCCGGCTCCAAAGATGTCCCCCACAGTCATGAGAAGGTGGTCATCGCTGAGGCCCACAGACGCTGCATCAATGCCTGCTGTGTTGTTGTTCTCAGCGCTGCGTTTGGCCCTCAGTAGGGCGTCCAGCAGGTCCCTCTGTACATGGTCGCTGTAGTCTGCCTGGGAGACGACAAAGTGGATTTTTCCATGGCTAGATCAATATGATGGAGCTGATCTAATGCATGATAGATGTAATTCACTCAGAGACAAAGAAAACAGTGGGAAGGTTCTGTTTGATGACTTTAGACTTTGCAAAAAGGTCTAATGCCCAAAAAACCGCCTCTCCTTAACATCTAGTTTATTAGCACCAAGCTTATCCTGATGCTTGATGATCAGAACCGCTTGGAAAGAATGAAGTAAAATCAGCTTCTCACCTTCCCACTTCTACTCGCATATTTTCACTTTTTAATGTGAAGCAGACTTTTAAATTTGTTCTCAGAATTTTGATTAATTTCTTAAAATACATTTTAATTGATACTATAACAGAAAATGAGTACAATTATTCCTGTTACTCTCTCAGAGTGACCCCGGTTAAGAGATTTTTGTTCCAATATTATTAAAAGTGGAGAAAACGTTTCAAAAAAGAACATTTAAAGAAATGTATTTAAAAAAAATGTGAACATTTAACCCACAAAAGGAATTTCATAGAAAGTTGACAACTTAAAGTGGTGTGCAAATAGTTTAAATAATATCTTTTTCAATTTGCTTTTTTTTCCAGATTTGTTTTTTTTTTTTCTTATTTTTGGTGAGACTGTGTTTGATGAATTACATTATTTATTCATTTTTTCAAATCTTGTTTTACAGACTTTACACTCTAAACTTCTGCTTTGATGAACGTGTCTATGAGGTTGTCCAAGTAGAGTCTACTCTACTTGGACCTTAGCAACAGAATTTCTATTTGTCCAGGCACTGATGACCCACAGGGTAAAATCTGGAAAATGAGATTTATAGATTTATATTAATAGAATTCAATTTCTAAAACTCATTCTCCTGAAAAATTATCTGTAAAATAAATAAATAAAAAAACTTAGAAAAATGAAAACTAGAAGATATTTAAAACAAAACAATACAAATTAAATTCTGAAAAACAGCAAATTATAGAGATATTTGATAAACTTTTGTCTGTCTTGTCTGACTTGTGTCCAAAAATTTTGTTTGAAATATAAATATTCCTAAAGCAGCATTGTTTCATGGTAGCATAAAAAAGGGAGAGGGAGAATCCACACATTGACCAGTGCTGTATAGTCATATTAGCTCTGCTTAGACTCGAACAGCGGCTACCGCTAACAGGACTCTATTAACAGGTTTAATGTGGGCTTTATTTTAAACAACAACAGGAGGTAATTAATGCCAATACTGCAGGGTCTACCTTATGCTCCTCGTACTTCTTCTGCAGAAGTTCATCTCTGACTGCCACACAGTGCTTCAGAAGACGTAGGTCTGCATTGGGAAAAATCTGCAACACAGAGACAGACATCAGTGCTTGACACACTTCTTTACTGATTTATCTGCATACACAGGATTAAACGGGGTTTTATTCCGATGTTAAGGTGGATAAAAAGGACGGCCTTTCAGAATCAGCAGAACTTTATTCTACTAATCATGACATCAAGAACGGGACTAACCTTCTACTTTGAGATTTTTTCCAATGGTTTTCCAATGGTTCAACCGGTAATCAACCAGTGTAATCCTGTTTCTGTGACTGGCTGGATGTGCTCTCTTTCATCCTCTGACATGGGATCTGGCTCAGAGCTTTTACAGTTGCCTTTTGTATCTCTGCTTCTTTCTGTATGTCTGCTTCTGTCTCCTTGAACCCCAGTCAGCCTCGGCAGATGGCTGCTCAAACTGAGCCTGGTTCTGCTGTAGGTTTCTTCCTGTTAAAAGGAAGTTTTTCCTCTCTGTCGCTACAAGCATGCTTAGTATGAGGGATTGCCTTTGAGTTGATGGAATCAACTGGTTTTCCTTAGATAGAAAACTTTTAATCAATTTGACTGTTTGATCTGGTGAACTGTAAAGTGCCTTGAGATGACATGTTGGCGCTATATAAATAAACTGAATTGAAATTAAATTGAACATGATTACCGGTACAAAATAACATGTTTTCATATTTTTTTCAATCATAAATTTACAAAACCAATCCTTACAGGAGGTAATATGTATGCTAGGAAAGAAGAAAGAAGTTCTAGTAACAATATCTACTGTTTACTGTATTTCACCTGCTCTCGAAACAGATCACACTATTCTTGGTTGGTAAGGTAACCAGAGTTTTTAATCAAATAAGGGTAGCAGTACTCTCAAAAGAGTATAAATTAAGTAAAAGTTAAAAGTGCAGTAAAGTACAACTACTCCTAAAAGTATTTTTTCCCCTGAAGTTATTCAACTTAATGTAACTACAGGTAGTTACTATTCACCTCTGGGATAATGCCAGGGTTTGAGAACATGTTTGGGTGTGTGTGTGCTCCTATTTATGCATCAAAGTGAGGACAATTTGTACCAAAGCGAGGACGTTGGTCCATTTCTGTCATCTTTTCAGTTTATTTTCTATAATCTTTATGCTGATGATATCTAGTTTTATGTGTCTTTTCCTTCATATTAAGTTTCTTACCTTGTCATTTTATTATATTGCCTGTATTCACCTAAAAGTTGAATGTCTGAAAGTTTTCTTCAGCTAAATTAGGATTAAGAGAGGTAATTATCTTTACACTAAAAAAAAAATGACGGTAAAGATAAAGCAGATCCTTGAGCCTCATGGTTTTCTGCCCAAATCCTCAGTTAGAAACCTTGAGATAACATTTGACTCAGGTTTGACCCTGGAAAATGATTTCAAATCTCTAGTTCTTTCGAAACTCAGCCTTGTTGTCTCTCATCCAGAAATGGAAATCGTAATCAAGACTGTTGTTTAATCTCATCTAGATTTCTATCGACACGTTAAAACTAAAACCTTCATAGACTGTCTGTGGTCTGTGCAGAACTTGAATGCTCATCTGCTGACTTGATCTTCAAAGTTCTGACATTTATTCACTTTTAACACAACTTGACCTGTTTTCCCTTTTTCTATCTAGCAGACACCAATCCACATCACTGCACTTCTACATCCCTACACATCCACCAGGGCCTTGAGGTCCTGTGATCAAGACCTGCTGCTTTTCTCCTGAGCAAAATGAAAAAAAAAAAAAAAAAAAAAAAATGAAAGTAGAAAGAGCCTTTTATTCCGTGGCCCTAAGACTGTAGAACTGTTTAAGCTAATGCTTAGGTTCAGGACTAAGGTATGAATTGAGTTTAGGTTCAGGCTAGGGGAGGTATGCTGTGGTAATAGATGGGTGGATATTCTCAGGGTCAAGTTATAGAAAGGGTAGAAAAAACTGAAATTCATGGAAGTCAGTGGGAGTCCTAAGGTGGTCCACATCACATTTAGCAGGACGAGGATGTGTGTTTTTACACTGACTGACCTGTAACCAGGGGAAGATGTCCACCAGGCTGTCCTTAGCCACGGTGTCCACGATACCTTGGCTGTAACGCAGCATGCCTTCAAACTCAGGGTCTCCTCTGGAGTAGGAGGAGTTGAAGCAGAGGGAACAGACCACGTTGGTGACCGCCCTGGTCAGCTCAGGGGCCAGGTCCAGAGCCAGGTCGACAGCCGCTGCCTCCGACACGGTGGAACATAGAGACTTGGCCTCTGCACAGACTGGGCACAGCAAAGGTTACAGTGAAAGAATAAGTGAATATCTTAGAACAGGAGTATTTTCCTACAGTTTGAACATTCAGTAGCCGAGCAAAAAGACAATGACAGCATGCAGGTTTGCATTAAAGCAGATAACAAAGGAGTCTCTGAAAGGCTGTGCAGTGATGTGTACTCACTGATGCTCTCAATGGAGGCAGAGCCCTCTCCAAACATACACAGAGCTCCGTGCACTATCTTCCTGTGGAACCTCCAGGCAGGACTGTAATCTCCAAATGCAATGTCCTTCCCATCTCTGGTCAGAACGTCTGTGGTTACCTTTGTCACACACGCCACATGCAAACACATGACATCAGGGTGGAAGGAGATGCCGAAGACAGACAAAACAAAGACCTATACCCACAGTTCTGGGCCTTCCTGCAAATATCTTCCCCTTCTTCAGCAGCACCTCTTTGGCGTGTGCATGCTGGTTGACAATGATCACCCTGTGGGAGCCCATCTTCAGAGAGTACGTCTGCCCATACTTCTCCTGGAGCTCCTTAAAAAGGACGTGAGGAGGGAGGGGGCTCCGCAGACTCAGCAGACTGCCGATTAAAGGCAAAGCCGGGAGACAGGGAGGCTCCCGGGGGCCGAGGGAGACCTTGGCTTTCATCTGCCACGTCAGCACAACCAGGATGAGGATGGCAAAGATGAGCAGACACCACCAAGCCATAGCTGTGTATGGAGGGTTCTGATGGAGCGGCTGGGTCCAGCTGTGGCCATACATCCCTGGGAGAGCTGTGAAGGAAAGCTCAGAACAGACGCAGCCCTCCACTTATATTCAACTACGTCAATGCCAGAGCCTTGACTCTGACTGTTTCCCTGGGACCAAATGAACGAGATAAGAGACATTATGCTGAGGGAATCCTTGAAGAAAACTGCAGACGTGTTGGGCTGTGTGGTGTCTGAAGGCTCCAGATGATGTATGGATCTATCACTTATAGGAGTTCACTACAAGTTCAACCCACCCAGGGGAAGGGGAGGGTAGGTTCGAACAAAGACACAGTCAACTGAGGATCAAGCCTTCTGCCCAGAACTCTCATATCTAGAACCTAAATCTCACACTATAATCCCACAAAGATAATCTAGAAGAATCTTAGAATAGAATTCATCTTTATAGTCATTACACTTCACAAGTACAAACAGGGTTTATACATGAATAACTCTTATTTAATGCTTTTTAATGCTCTTTTAATGCTCTTAGAAATTATCTTAATGCCATCAACAAGTAACCATGACTTATATATATATATATATATACAGGCTGCAGCCATGTCCCGAGTTCCTTGTTTTCCTGCCACTTTGGTTCAAATTTGCATTTTTTTCCACATTCTCTAGCCTTTTCTCTACCCCAAGCTTCTTTTCCGAAGCATTTTAATGCCATGATTATCAAATTTAATGAATTTTAATGCCAACTTCAGGGAGACTGAGAGCCATCTCATCCAACATCAGTATGTGACCTCACAGATGCTCTGCTGGGAGAATAATCCCAGTAAACACTTGTTAAACTGGTCAACAACATGAGTGGAGCGATGTGTCCAGCGCAGTGGGTGAATAGTGAGATAACGCTGTTGTTCACGTTTAAATCCATTATTATGCAGTCATTAATTAACAGAGGCGTAGCCAGATATTTTTATGAGGGTGGCCAGGCAATAACCAATGTAGACTGAGGGGTGGCCGAAAGTAGATAGGCACCCAAACCTCACGGTACTTCTACACTGTTCCAACAGGAAAATTAATGAGCAAAACATCCATATTTTCTAAATAAAGACAGAATATACTTTCCCACAGAATTTGCTAAGAAATAGATGAATATATTCAAAGATCTGTGCTTTCTAGATAAAAGGTATAGTGGATAAAATTCTTTCAGGTTTGAGTTCTGGACGAACATCTTTTCCATGGTCATTACTTACCTAATTTTTATAAGTAATCATTGTGCATAAAATTGATATTTACAAGTACAAATATCCACATTAATTGATTATTTAATACGTTTTTTTTTAAATATTTATTTATCTATGATTTCACTGAAGACTCCTGGATGACTTTTCTCTTTACCCCATAAAACACAAAATCTATTTCTGCTTGAATTCTGTATTTATCATCTTTAATGTTAGTATATCAATGTGCATAATTAACCACAGTGTTTTTGTTGTCAAGTAATTGTTAATATATGAAAAATTAAAATGTTTCGAATATTCCACTTAAGAGTATTATTGTTGCCACCATCTGTATTAGAGGGAAATAAATGGTAGGGTGGCCACAGGGGTGGCAAATGAGTGGCTAAGGGTGGCCATTGCCACCCCTGGCCCCCATCTAGCTCAGCCCCTGTTAGTTAAGGCCAGATATTATTGGTGTTTCCAAATACTTTAAATATTTGAGCAGATAATAAAATGAACAAACTACTGAATGCACGATAGATTCAACATGAGAACCGAACTTTTTTTATTTTTATATTTACAACTAAGATTTTGCGTTCTTTTGTCCTTTTCGTGACATGCGCTTCCCGAACGCGTTGCTGGATATTTTTGGACCTCTCCGCGCACCGTCATTTTACAACACAGAAAATGGCGTCAGCTGATTCCCAGCCGCGGTTCGGCCAGTCTGTCAAAGGCTTGTTATCCGACAAAGTGGGCTCCTGCAGCGGGGACGTGATTGCGTTGACCCGTCAGGTGCTGAAGGGATCCCGCAGCCAAGAGGTACGGCATCACTTTCAGGGGAAAAACACATTTTTGTTCCTGACTTCTCTAGACCAAACAACCACCGGAAACTAGCACCCGAGCCCTTACAAAATAAAAGCATTGACACTCAACAGTATCCTCTTGGTAAAGCTCGGTCATTTAGGACTGTAATTTAACAAGGATTAGTTTTCAACAGGATTCTACCTTCTAAGATATATTTTTTCCTGCTTCAGCAGAAACGGTTTATTATTCAAAAAGGTAAAACAGGGGCAGAGCTAGATGGAGGGGCCAGGGCTTAGCCAATCATTGGCCACCCCTGTGCCCACCCCTACCATTTTCCCCCTCTAATACAGATGATGGCAGCAGTAATACTCTCAAGGTGAAAATTAAAAACATTTAAATTTTTAATATATTACTTACTATTTTTTCATGTACTCATAATTTCTTGACAACAAAAACACTGTGGTTAATTATACACATCTATATACTAACATTAAAGATGATCAGTACAGATTTCATGCTATTATCAGAACTAGATTTTGTGTTTTATGGGTTTAAGAGAAAAGGATGTGTCTCTGCATATCATCTAGGAGTCTTCAGTGTAATCAAAGATAAATAACTATGTTAGTAAAAATGTATTAAATAATCGATTTATGTAGATATTTGTACCTGTAAATAGGAATTTTATGCTGAATGATTATTGATAAAAGTAGGTAAATAATGACAATGGAAAAGAAGTTTGCCCCAGAACTCAAACCTGAAAGTATTTTATCCACTATACCTTTTATCTAGAAAGCATGCATTTAAATATATGCGTCTGTTTGTTAGCAAAGGCTGTAGGAAAGTAAAGTTAGTCTTATCTTTGGCTTGACCCTGAGATTCTGGAGCCTATCCACTTTCTGCTTCCCATCAGTGTACATTGATTATTGCCTGGCCACTCTTATAAAAATTTCCTGGCTACACCTCTGGCCATAAAGAGATAGATCCCATTTTTTTAAGGGGTGCGAAATATCAAATAAGACAGATTTTTTTAAAGGAAATATTGCATTGAACTTTATCATCCCTGCAAAGAAGTGAAGAGCAAACTAAAAACTGGTTTCCTTAGTTATATGCTTTATTAATACTAGAGCTGGGCTAAAACAATCTGCTTTCCAGTTCTGATTTGATTTCAATATAATTTCCTAAAGTTGGATTGATATGTAAGAATGTATTTTAATAACAACGATCCAATATGAGATCTGAGTCTTGAAATTTAGAAACAATTCTGATACATTTTATTTAAAGTGCCTTCCACAACACCTAAGAACACTGCAAAACATTATCAACAATACACAGTGTTAAAACAGGACAGGCAATCTGTCTGTTTCAGCTTCTGGGCCTGGCAGCGAGGAACATGGTGATCCAGGAGGACGCCATCCTGCACTCAGAGGATGTAAGTAATCTCTACTGCTGTCTGTGACACGTTTCCTAGCTGCTGGTCATTCATTCACTGCCTGCCTTCTCTGTCTGTCCCCTCAGAGTCTGAGGAAAATGTCCATCATCACCACTCATCTACAGTACCAGTGAGTATCACCCAGCTGCTTCACTTTGCTTCCTTCTGTAGAGGACAGTCTATTAAACCATGTTTCCCCCCCTCCCCACAGGCAGGAGGCCATCCAGAAGAAGTAAGTCCCAGCAGCTCATGACATCACAGCGTTGTTTAGGCTTGTCCGTATCTCTGAGCGGAGCCACAACACCGAGCCCTGACGTGTTCTTCTGTTCCTCATCCTCCAGCGTGGAACACTCCAAGAACCTGCAGGACCAGCTGAAGCACCTGCTGAAGTGACACACACCCCACCATGGAGGGGGGGGCATCAGCAGCTCAGCCTCCAACTGCTCAGCCTCTAACTTGTCAGACGGAGGAGTTTAACAGCTGCTCTGTTTTACAGATGTTTGGTTTCTAAATGAAAGCAGTAGAGCCTGAAGCAGTGGATGATCTACGCTGAGATTCCTCTGGCTTACCCAGAGCCCCGACACGCTCGGCCTGAACGCCGAGGCGGAGCTCTGATGTCAGGACCAACATCCAATCACAAACCAGAGAGTTCCTTATTTAACAGCTGAAAAGGTTCTGTTCCAGCTGAAAGTTTACACTCAGTTTTAGGGTTTCCACAGTTTGTTCCATTTCAGCATCAAAGCTCCCTGTGTTTGCTGCTTTTGTGGGTGGAGCTTCACAAAAAAGATATTTTTTTCAACTTAAGAAATCTGAAAAGTGTGGAATACATCTCTAGTTTACTAGAGCTGTACTGAGGGATATTTCTTTGTAAATGTGAGAATAAAGTTCTAATAGGAGATGAAGAAGTTTCTGACTTTAATGTTAACCTTTAAAGAACAAACTTCTGCCCCATTTACACTAACCCTCTGAAACCAATCCCTGACGAGTTCAGACCAAGCTTAACCGTGCCGAGGCTGCTAGCATGGTTTCTTGCCTCCTAGTGACGATCAACGGTACTACTGCTCTCTAGAAGGAATCAGACAAATCAAAATGGCGGCGCTCGTAATATTCAGGAGGTTATGTTTGGTTATAATTGTAATATTTCGTTTGTGGAAAGTCAGGTGAAGAAGGCAGCCTAGGTCGCACCATGCTCTTTTGAATCCATTTTATAAAATGTAGTGTTTAGATTATTCGATTGTTGTTTACATTTCTTCTTCTTCTGATTTATGGCGGTTAGCAAGCAACTTATTGATGTGCATTACTGCCAACTACTGGAAGCTGACTGCAAGGAGATGACACGGTCTGCTCATGTGCTTTTTGTTATTAGAGAACTGAACCATGCCGAGCCCTACTGTTGAACTAGTACTAGTTTAGTGCGGTTCAGTTGTGTCTGGCACGGTCCAGTTCCATTTACACTCAACAGGTATCTCAGTTACCGTGATCAGACCGCACTTGGCACGGATTCTGAAGGGTAATGTAAATAGGGCTAGGGTTAAAGTAGAGCTGAGTAGCTTTTTCTCTTTGGCTCCCTCTACTGGTTATGTTTGAGAACGCATTGTCTTAAAGATCAGAGCTCCAAACCAAAAGCATCAGAGAGAGCAAGAGAGCCGTTAAGCACCATTACAAGACGTTGATACGAAAGAAGCAAGAAGACAAAACTAAGAAAAATTAATGTCTCAACTGGGGATGATTTGATTACTGAAATAATCGTCTACTAATTAAGTTATCGATTAATTGTCAACTGACTCTAAAAACCCCCCGCCATGAACTAAAAGAGCAGCCCACATAGAGTGGCAAAAAAAATCAACAATTTAGATTTTGGATCAAATAAGTTCTCTGTTAATATGCTCTATCAAGAACTCCTTAAGCAGATTAGTTTTAGCTTCACCTTCCTGTATAAAATCTTTGTTTTTTCCTTTTGCTATCCAATAATGAATCAATGAGAATTGAGAGATTAGTCAATTAACAGAATCATTAGTTGCAGCCCTAGTCTCAGCAGATTGGTATTCTTGTCTTTTACACTCGGCTTTTGCAGCGTTTAGCAACTCGTACGTCTACGGTAGAGTTTAGTGCTTAGTAATGAGATTTATAAGCTTACGTTCTGACATTTATTCAGTTATATATTTCCTATGACATCAGAAATTGATTTTACACAACCATATTTCCATCCATGGATTGTTGATAGATCAACAGGGAACAAAAACGTTGGATCCATCCTGTTCTCCTGAGGGCCGTTACTATTTAGAATCCACAACTGGATTCACAACCAAAGTCAAAGGCCAGTTTCTGGCCCAGATGTTCTGGTGTGGTTCTTTAGCCTTTTAAAAGCCAGCAGAAGTTTTCTACCTCAGAACCCTGAAGTTCTGACGGAGCAGGAATAAAGCAGAGAAGGTTTCTGTATGGTTCAGATGAGCCAAGTAATGACCGTGACCTTCCATTGGAGCACACCCACCAAATGACGATGAAGAGCAGTTTCTCAGCAGCCTGAAGGCCGGACAGCAGACCGACCCTGACGGCAGCCCTGACAGCACGTTCTGACTCGCTGCTTCAAGCCTCAGGTTTTCTTAGAAGTCTGATTCCGGACGACCTTCCACAGCTCTGAAGCTTCAAACCTGCTGGCGCCTGTGGTTCATTGAGAAGTGTACACTGGGCTAAACATTTAGGTAATTTTGTTAAGGATCTTCATTAGCTGTTGCCATGGCAAACAGTTAGTCTTCCTGGGGTCCAGATGGACCCATGGAAGACTGGTTTAAGGCTTTATACGTGAGGAGGATTTTAGATTCTAGTCTCGATCTAACGGAAGCAAATGAAGGTAAACAGACTGGAGAAATATAATCCATCTGAACTCTGGCTGGAGGATTTTGAATCAGCTGAAGGCTTTTAACTACAGTTTGTGGACTTTCTTAAAGTAAAGAATTACAATAGTTCAGCCTTGAAGTAAATGCTTGGAATAGTTTCTCAGCATCATTCTGGGTAAGATATTTCTAATTTTGGCAATATTCTAGAGATGAAAGAAGACAGTTCTAAGAACCTCTTTGACATGGAGTTTAAATGACAGGCCCTGACAACAAATAACACCAAGAGTTTTAATCTATTATCTGAGATCAATTTAATCCCATAAAAATGAAGTGACTGATTAATCAGATTCTTTTTCAAAAACTCTGCTCCAAAGACTATAATTTCTGTTTTGTCTGCATCAGGAGCAGAAAGTTTAGAGTCAACCAGGATCTTAAGTGTTAAAGATATGCCTGTATTCTATGGTTAGTTTCATCTGGATTTATAGACGGATATAGCTGAGTATCATCAGCATAACAGTGGAAATGAATCCCAGTCTGAATATTCTACCAACTGGGAGCATATATATGATAGAGAATTGGCCCAAGCACTGATCCCTGTAGAATTTCACAGGTAACACTGGAGCATGAGGAAGATTTATTATTAACATGTAAAAACTGACATCTGTCAGATAAATATGATTTAAACCAGTCTGGTGCTGTTCCTTTAACTCCTAGAAAATATTTGAGTCTTGAAATCGGATAAAATTACAGCTCAAGTTAAGAACAAAGAGATCTTCCAACCTTAAAGACTTTGGTCAATTATATAAATAATGCATAAACATCTAGCAGACAGCATAATCATAGCAGCTGGCCAAAGCGGTCAGTCTTAGCCTGTAGCATAAGACATAGTTCTGGAAAACCTAAGATACTCAGCTCTAAACATTATTAAACATTCTACTTACAGTATTAGAAAAACCTAGATAAATGAAAAAATGCCTCACAAACTACAGAAGCTCCCAATTCACCCACAGCCTAAAGTATTTCAGAGTCTACTCTAGATTTTAGGGCGTAGTCTGTCCTGCCCTGTGATGGACTGTCCACCATGGAAGATAAGTGCTAGTATCACTTAATGAAGCAAATAGTGAACAATATACTGTATCATTACTGGAAGTATGCTTACCCTCTTCTAACCTGTATGCATAAAATACAGTATATATTGTTATAATAAAAATATATAATTAAACTTATATTGTAAAAGATGTTTTTAACCTGAAATTGTTATTGTGTGATCATTGTATGCTGTAACACCAGTATTTATACATTTCTTGCAACTTTACATAGTTTTTAGATCAGTTGCTCCATACCAAAGTGGCCTTTTAATTCAATACATTTTTATTTTAACTCATCTGAGTAATTTCTTAAGTTTCACTTTACTTGGGTAGACATGATGAATTAGTGCTACTCTTAATTGAGTACAATTTTCCGATACTCTACCCACCTCTGCAGATGGCATAAACAGTAATAGGAGAAATTAACCCCATTTTGGGATTTGTAAAGAAATTGAATGCACCATTGTGTCAATATATTAATAACAATACCTTGTGATGCTTAGAGTAGAAAAATGTTAATCGTTTTTTTAAACCTTCCTGTCACATTTGACAGACTGAGCTCGTCATCTCACAGCTTGAAGTTCATACAGATATTAAAGTCTTTGCTCTTATAATGGAATATCCTGTGGGCTGGAATATCTCTGTAATATTCTTAGTTTCATTACAATAAAGCATCCCAGTGTTCTGCTCTGGGCCCTCTTCAGTATTATTTGGCTTCTGTGGTTAATTTTGAACAAATTTGTTTTTATTAACCTGTATAAGATCATCCAATTTTCTTCTAAATCTTCTGAAACAGTTATGCAAAACACAAATAATAAACTTCCTAAATCAAAATAATACAGATTTATTTTTAATTGAAAACCCCTGATCTTCTAGACATTTACCTTTGTTTGCTAACATTAAACTGTTGCCTTTACAGATCAATCCTCTGTGAGTTAAATATTTGAAATGTTAATGATATTTGAAGCATAAATGTCTGTGCAAGATTTTACAGCAAATAAATAAAACATTTTTACTAATTTTTTTTGTTCCAAAGTTGTGGGGTGTTCTACATAGATTTTGTCTATGATAGCATAAGGGAGGTTACAGTTGTTTTGTTCTGTGATCATGAAAGAATCAATAGAGATTTAAAAAAATAAAATAACTGAAGTTTGATGCCTTGTTGAAAACCATCAAACAAAAGAGTTTACTGGAATGATTTAAAAGTATTCTTTTCTTTTTATATAAACCTCAACAACAAAAAAAACAATGTTTATGTCTGACTCGTCCTGATGAGCTGTTCAAGGCCTCCCCGGTTTTTTTGTAAACGCCTCTGCACTCCTGTGCTTGTTAATAAGTCTGAGCTGTGCCATGATCTGAACCACATAAAGGAACGTAAGACAAAAACCGGGCTAAAAATACCCTGGTCGCCTCTGAGCGATGCGCTGAAGGTGTCGCCAGATTTACTGGAAATGCAAAACATGAAGTGTGTTCAACGAGATAGTAAAGAGAGCAAGAATTAAAGTTAAATGGGGTGATTCTTA